ACATAAATTAACAACAGTCCAGGTGCATTTATATATCCTTATTTATTTTTGTGCATATGTTATAATAAACAAGTATTCAAATAAATATAAGAATGTTTAAAGGGTCCTTTAATCGAAGATGTAGAGTTAATGACGGTATTAAATACAACAAAGCAAACAGCTGCAGAAGTTAATGAGAAATTAAATATTGCAAGGATAACAGAAATTAAAATTGACGCCGCTCGTGAAGAATATAGGCCAATTGCTACTCGAGGAAGTGTTTTATATTTCTTAATTTGTGATATGGCAAATGTTAATTCGATGTATCAAACATCTCTCGTACAATTTTTGGAACGTTTTGATATTTCAATAGCACGGTTAGTTTAATTTATAAATGATATAATGATATAATGTATAAGAATGTAAAATAAAATAAAAACATGCAATATGTTTCAGATCAGAAAAAAGTCCTGTTATCCAAAAAAGAATTAATTATGTTATTGAATATCTAACATATGAAATATTTAAATACAAAGCTCGTGGTTTATATGAAATACACAAATTCATGTTTATTTTATTAATGACATTGAAAATTGATCTTCAACGTGGAAGCATAACTCACGAAGAATTTGAATTCTTTATTAAAGGTGGTGCTGCTTTAGATTTAAAGACTGTAAAACCAAAACCTTGCAAATGGATTACAGACGTAACATGGTTACATTTAGTTGCTCTATCAGCTTTGAAACAGTTTCAATATATATTAATACAAATACCTGCTTCTGAAAAACTTTGGAAGCTTTGGTTCGATAAAGATGCTCCGGAAGAAGAAGTTATACCAGATGGTTATCATAATTTAGACACTTTTCGCCGCTTACTTATTATAAGGTTTTTATATTTACGAACTTTTATAACTATATATATATAAATTAAAAAACATGTTTACAATATAATTTTTTATAGAGCATGGTGTATGGATCGAACTCTTTCACAATCTCGTAAATATATAGCAAGTTCTTTAGGTGCACAGTATGCAGAAGCAGTTATTACACTTCTGGATGTAATGCATAGTGAATCAAGACCTGATACACCTATGATATGTTTCTTAAGTATGGGAACAGATCCTAGTCCAAGCATTGAACAATTAGCAAAAAATATGGAAATTTTATGCCAAAGTATATCGATGGGACAAGGTCAAGAAGTGCATGCTCGAAAATTGCTTAATAGCGCTATGACTGATGTTCGTTAAATGTTTTATAAATATACTATGTGGTAATTATTTCGTGAAATATGAATCTATTTCAAATTTAACTTTTCAGGGTTTTTGGGTACTTTGTCAAAATTGTCATTTAGGTTTAGATTATATGAATGAGATGGTTACTTTTCTTTTGGAAATGCAATCTCCTCATCCCGATTTTCGTATATGGATTACAACAGAACCACATGAAGATTTCCCTATTTCTCTTTTACAAATGTCTATCAAGTTTACATATGAGCCACCACAAGGTTATTTTTTTTTATTTTTTTCATCTAATTAACAATATTTTATTATAATTGTTTAATTACATTTTTATTATAGGAATAAAAGCTGGCTTAACAGCTACATACAGTGGAATGAATCAAATAATGTTAGATCAATGTGATGCTGCTCAATATATACAATTAATATATGTAGTGTCATTTTTACATAGTGTAGTACAAGAAAGACGTAAGTTCGGTCCACTTGGATGGAATATACCTTATGAATTCAATTCTGCTGATTGGTTGGCATCTTGTATGTTTATGAACAATCACTTGAGTGATTTTGATCCTAAACGTGGTATAAGCTGGCAGACTGTTAGGTATCTTTAAAAAATCTTAACAAATTAAATTAGGTCTTTTAAATAATGTGTATCAATAATATTTTATACTTTGTGCAGGTATATGATAGGTGAAGTACAATATGGAGGTCGAGTTACAGATGATTACGATAAACGATTATTGAACACATTTTCAAAAGTGTGGTTTTCAGATGCACTTTTTACTGAAGATTTTGAATTTTATAAAGGTTATCCAGTATTAAACTATAGTAATGTTACTGATTACTTAAAGGTAATAGACTCTATGGCTTCAATAGATCCTCCACAAGTTTATGGACTTCATTCAAATGCAGATATTACGTTAGTAATTTATTATTGTTTAAAAATACGTATATATAAAGTTCATTTTTCTATAAATATATTTTTATTAAAATAGATATCAAAGTAATACAACACAATCTGTGTTAGATATTATAATATCTATTCAACCAAAGGAAGCAGGGGTGGGTGGTGGAGAATCGCGGGAAACGGTTGTAACTAGACTAGCAAAAGATATGTTAGACAAATTACCATCATCATATGATTCATTTGTAGTTAAAGAAAGGTTTGAAAAGTCATATTTTTTAATTATTTTTGTGAATTCATATCTTCTTCATGCATATTAAATTGTTTTATAATTTTTATAGAATGAATATCATGGGTATAACTCAACCTATGAACATTTTTTTGAAACAAGAGATAGATAGAATAAATGTTGTCATTTTATTATTAAACACAATGCTAAATGATCTATTGTTAGCTATAGAAGGTGTGATAATAATGAATGAGGTAAACTTTTAAATACAATTTATTATTTATTTTTATATAAAATAATTAAAAGAAAACTTCATATATCTATATATATATAAATCCATATAGCAATTAAGAGACATTCTCGATAATGTGTACGATGCAAGAATACCTCAAATTTGGAAAGTTCGATCGTGGGAGTCTTCGACGCTTGGTTTTTGGTTCACAGAATTATTAGAACGAAATCAACAACTTTCTACTTGGTTATTTATTGGTAGACCTATGAAATTTTGGATGACCGGATTTTTTAATCCTCAAGGCAAAGTGGTTTCCTCAAATTAAATATCTAATGGTAATTTTGAATGATACAATAATATATTTTCTATAAAATTTTATATAGGATTTTTAACGGCTATGAGACAAGAAGTAACACGTGCTCACGAGGGTTGGGCATTAGATAACGTAACTCTACATAATTCTGTTCTGCGTTATTATACCGATGATATTAAATCTGGACCAGATGTAAGTTTCATATTTTATACACATATTTGTAAGAATATATATTTCTTTTCTTATTTTTTTTCTAGGAAGGTGTGTATGTGATTGGACTAATTTTAGAAGGTGCTGGGTGGGATAGAAGAAATAATATGCTTTGTGAATCAGCAAATAAAGTTCTCTATGTGAACATGCCAGTTGTTCATATTTATGCACTTTATAATAAACCAGATAAAGATCCTAAATTATATCAAGTAAATATATATTTCAGAAACTCTTTATAAATATAATGATGAAAATAATATTTATAATATTAATAATACTGCAAAAAGTATAAAAGTTTTAATATTTTAATAAAGTTATTCATATATATACATTTTAAAATAATATTTAACAGTGCCCTCTGTATAAAAAACCACAAAGGACTTACAATCTCTTGGTTACACCACTTTGGTTGCAGTCTAACAAATCACCGGATCATTGGATTTTACGTGGAGTAGCGTTACTTTGTGATAATAAGTAATGAATTATATAATGATTAATGGTATTAATAAATCAGCAATAGAGTAAATACGTAAATAGTTACAAAATAAAATAAAATGTTTTATGAATCTGCTTTATTTGTTTATTATATTTAATAAAAAAATAATAAAGAATTCCACTTCATTATAATTAAGTGCAATACATGTATAGACATCTTACGTTATTTATCATTACACTAACGCCTAGAAAACGATAACAAAACTTTATTAACCCTCTGTGGACTACCGCCTCATATATGCGTTCTGCGTAAACCATCAATTTGGCCGAGGAATTCATATATGCATTTGGCGAAAACAATTGATAGGGTTGAAAGGTTCATATATGTGTTCCACGTAAGCACGTCGATATTAGCGTGTAGGTAGAAATTTGAGCTAGTAATTTCAAACGACTTTGAACTGTTCCCTCCGCAAAAGTTTGAAACTAATTCTGTATTTGCCAAAAATTCCTCCAACATGGAGTCCTCCGGCGATTGAATTTAACTAATTGTGAGGAAGGTGAAAGGGTAATTAGTACAAAATAAAACACGTGGTTGAGCCAATAAAATTGCAAATGCTTTATTGGCTCGTCAGGGAAAAGCCTTATGGCATAAAAACCCTGTTTGCTG